GGCATCCATTGCATCCAGTTGCTCAGTTTATTGGCATAGAGTTGTTGAGAATAATTTCTAATAATTGTTTCTATTTCCTTGGTTTTAGTCATGATCTCTCTTCTTTCATTCATAATTTTATTAATTTGGGTCCTTTCTCTTTTCTTTTGGATAAGTCTGGCCAGAGGTTTATCAATCTTATTAATTCTTTCAAAGAACAAGCTTCTAGTTTTGTTGATCTGATCTACTGTGTTTCTGGTTTCTAATTCATTGATCTCTGCTCTAATCTTAATTATTTCTCTTCTAATGCGTGGCTTAGGCATCATTTGTTGCTTTTTCTCTAGTTCTTCAAGGTGTAGAGTTAACTGGTGAATTCGGGATTTTTCTATTTTTTTGAGTGAGGCTTGAATGGCTATGTATTTCCCCCTTAGGACCACCTTTGCAGTATCCCATAGGTTTTGGTCTGATGTGTTTTCATTCTCATTGGTTTCCATGGATTGTTTAAGTTCTTCTTTGATTTCCTGGTTGACCCAAACATTATTGAGCATAGTGTTTCCAAGTGTTTGAATTTCTTCCAAATTTTTTTTGTGATTGAGTTCCAGTTTTAAAGAATTATGGTCTGAGAATATGCAGGGAATAATCTCAGTATTTTGGTATCGGTTGAGACCTGATTTTTGACCCAGTATGTGGTCTATTCTGGAGAAATTTCCTTCTCTGAAGATGACATACAAATAGCTAACAGACACATGAAAAAATGTTCATCATCATTAGCCATCAAGGAAATTCAAATCAAAACCACATTGAGATACCACCTTACACCAGTTAGAATGGCAAAAATTGACAGGGCAAGAAACAACAAACATTGGAGAGCTGTGGAGAAGGGGGAACCCTCTTACACTGTTGGTGGGAATGTAAGTTGGTATAGCCACTTTGAAAACCAGTGTGGAGGTTCCTCAAAAAATTAAATATAGAGTTATCTTATGACCCAGCAATTGCACTCCTGGGTATTTACCCCAAAGACACAGATGTAGTGAAAAGAAGGGTCATATGCACCACAATGATCACAGCAGCAATGTCTGCAATAGCCAAACTGTGGAAAGAGCCGAGATGCCCTTCAACAGGTGAATGGATAAAGAAGATGTGGTCATATATACAATGGAATATTACTCAGCCATCAGGAAGGATGAATACCCAACGTTTACATCAACATGGATGGGACTGGAGGAGATTATGCTAAGTGAAATAAGTCAAGCAGAGAAAGTCAATTATCATATGGTTTCACTTATTTGTGGAACATAAAGAATAGCATGGAGGACATTAGGAGAAGGAAGGGAAAAATGAAGGGGGTAAATCAGAGGGAGAGATGAACCGTGAGAGACTATGGACTCTGAGAAACAAACTGAGGGTTTTAGAGGGGAGGAGCTGGCGGGATGGGTTAGCCCTGTGTTGGGTATTAAGGAGAGCACGTACTGCATAGAGCACTGGGTGTTATATGAAAACAATGAATTGTGGATCACCACATCAAAAACTAATGATGTACTGTATGGTGACTAACATAACATAATAAAATAAAATTAAAAAAAAAGAAATTAAAATTCAAAATCTAAAGTGATCATCCTGTATGTTTGAGCAATTTTAGTGCTTTGTCTTTCAAAATGTAGTCCAGCCGGACCTGCCTCAGAGTTGTCCGGGCTACTTGTGAATAGTACAGAATCTCACACCAACCAACAACCTACTGAATCCAATACCTACAGGCTCATGCACACTAAAGTTTAAGAATGAAAACCTCAAGTGAAAAATCTCCACATCGTTGGCTCTTCTTCTGCTTAACTAAACCAGTTATAAATGTTATATAGAGGTTATACTCTCCAACCAAATAATGTACCTAGTAGACATTTTGTAATAGCTCAACTGACGTTCAGTGAATTGATTATACTACATGACAAAATGGACAAGAATGGAGAACTGTCCAATATAAATAAAATACCTGCTGAAATATGGGACTCTAATAATCCAGGAGAAACATTTGTTAGGAAATATTTGCAATTAACTTTTTGTGAACTGTCTGGATATGCATAGCCTGTTTCCCCAAACTGATTATCTGGTAGGAATTTGAAAGAAATTAGTGTTATCTACAATTTTTTTATGAATGAACTTTTTTTCAGACAGCAAACTGCAGGTCCCTATTCACTAGCATACAGATAATTGTGTCAGACTTCCAAAACCAACTAAAGAATCAAGAACCATATGAAGATTTTACTTTCCCCTTAAACCAGTAGTTTTCAACCTGGGCTATGCTTTTATCACCTGGAGGGGTAAAGGTCGACAAATAGCTGGGTCACATCTCCAGAGCAGCTGATTTCACTGGTCTGAGATTGGGTCAGAGAATTTTAATTCCTAAGGACCTTAGGTGATTCCAGCAAGGATTGAGCATCACTGCCTCAAATTAAAAAAAGCACACTATGCAACAGACATATCATTTATATATCATTATTTCCTTTGTGCCATCAAAAATGGGGGGAAATAAAGATAAAAACTTGATCAAAAAATGCATAAACTATGATAAAGTAGCCATTTGGCAAAACAGTCACTGTAACAGTCAAACAGGAAAGTTTCTATACTTGAATATCACCTATTCTTCATCAGAAGCTTGCCAAGTTTCACATGATGATTGTCCCTAGTGACTTTCAACACTGGCTGCATATTAGAATCACTCAGAGAGGTTTAGAAAACTACCAGAAGCCTGGGACCCCATCTTAGAGATTCTAGTTTGTTTGGTTTGAGGTGAGAACCAAGAGTGAGAACCACTGATCCATGGTCCATACCATCTGGGTGAGGAAGAAGAAGATATGCAAGACTTGATTGGTGACATTTAGTCACTAATTCTGCTACTTGTTATCAACAGGGTGTGATGTATCAAAGAATTATTCAGTTTTACAATATGCTATAAAGCTTACTAAGAAGTACCTGAAATGCTGTCATTCTCATGGATTAAGCAGCTATTAGTTGGATTCCAAACCAACTTTTGCATAAAATATAAAACCATGAAAACTAAAAGTTTCTACAAAGAACTCACAGTATCCTATAAAAAAACCTTGCAGGGTGACCTGAGCTTTACAGGAAAAGAAGAAGCCAGGAAGCACATCTAGAGGCTTACTTCCATTCTCTTAGCCACAGGGCACACAGGTGGAGCAGAGGGAGCCATCCAGATTTGGCCAGCACCATCTCCTCCTGAGTGCCTCTTCAGCCATCAGTGTTGGGTCTCACATAAGACTTTATAGTCTAATAGAAGCAGCATAGGGTAGTGGTTAAAAGCATGGACTCTGGCACCATGCTGCCTGAAATAATAAAGGTATAAAGAAGACAGAGAGCATCTATATTTTGACAGACAGCAATTGTATACAGACAATACTAAAACAGGCTGCATGACACATAAAGAAAAAGAAAGAGTTTTGCCACTTGCTTTGACTGTGGAGAGGTGGAAGAACTCCCACAGAGATTCTGCACCCACAGGGAGCAACCTGCTTCCAATGAGCCCACACAGCAGAAGCAGGGCTCAGATGCAGTGAGAGGAGCAGGGTCTGAGAAAACAGCCCCAAACACAGTGCTGAAGCCTGTTGGCCCCACCTCAGGCTTTGTCATCCAATGACTCAGCAAATTGTTTCTATCCTCAAATCAAAATAATAGGCTAGGTGTTAGAGGAATGTGCCATGTATACAGAAATACTTTCTTCTTTTTCTTTCTTTTTTTTTTTTTCTAGAGTGCACCAAGGTGACTACTCATGGTTTATATGCTCCTTTTTCCTTGTATGGCCTATAAGAGACATCAAAGGGTTATGAGAATTGGCTTTATCAATAACATAATGTGGGTCAAATTACCTATCTTTCCTTTATTTTTGACTAAAATATTCAAAGGGTCATATGTAATAAAGTCAGGATCTCAAAAAATGCAAAAGGACCAGACAGAAAACATATATAGTTTTTATAAAGAAAAAATCAGTTAAGTTGCATAATCACAAATTGACCAAGCACATCTGTTCTTTCAGGTAGCTGTCCATTCCAAGAGAAAAAATTTCAATTGGTATATGTGTGTCAGACACAAGCTGCTTAGTAAGATTGCTTATAAATTAAAAAGTAGAAGTTTTTAAAGAACTCAGAACTTTACATGGCAGGAAAATTATTTTCTCTTCAATACATAATTGTTAAATTTTTATACCTTTCAATCATTGAAATGCAAATATAATTTTCAAAATTACTCTTAAACCTTATAGAAATGTTCATTTTGAATGCCTCATGAGTTATATTCTGTCATATTTAGTCTAACAATATTACTTTGGTGTACATATTATTTGGATAATGATAAATACTCAAGAGAAGGTTTTGAAAAATTACTTGCTCAATAATTATGTAAAAGGGTATGAGAACTTTTTAAAAAGAGAGTTTATACAGATTGAGTCTTCCCTTAAAAAAATATAAGTGCAAAAAATTTTAAAGTGTGTGTATCTGGAGGGTCACCTGGGTGGCTCAGTCAGTTGAGCGTCTGCCTTCGGCTCAGGTCGTGATCCCAAGGTCCTGGGATCAAGCCCCACGTTGGGTTCCCTGCTCAGCCGAGAGTCCTTTTCCCTCTTCCTCTGCACCTTCCCCTGTTTGTGCTTTCTCTCTCTCTGTCTCTCAAATAAAAAATAAATAAATAAAATCTTTAAAAAAAGGTATGTGTATTTGGAAATAGAAAGCTCATTCAAGTTACAAAGACGGAGTAATTTGAAGATTTCATTCCAGTTTCATCCTTGAGGTTGGACTTAAAACAACACAAGGTAAGTGGAGTCCGTCCTTACCATGCTCATTAATTATTTTGATGATCACAAGAACTTAGGATGAAGACAAGTATATCTACTCTAAATTTGTTATTCATTCACTTAACAAGTACATATTAAAGCCCTACTATGTGCAAAACCCAGGGACACATGCTTTATTTAAACAGAGTAAAATCTAAGGAATGATGAAAGGTTTCCTCAGAAATATTTATTTCTTTATAATTTTTCTCAGTGCACCTAAAACTTCCTTGTTTCTTAGGCTATAAATAAAGGGGTTGAGCAGGGGGATGATAATCGTGTAGAACAGTGAATACATTTTATCCTGATATTGATCTGGGCCAGACCCAGGACGCACATACATGAAGAAGAGAGTGCCTTAGAACAAGGAAACAGAGAGCAGGTGGGCACTGCATGTGGAGAAGGCTTTGCTCCTGCCCTTTCCAGATTTCTTTGTCAGGATGGCAAAGAGGACACGGGTATAGGACACTATGATGGTCATAAAAGTAAAAGCTTGAATAAAAGCAGCAAAAATAAAAACCACCAATGCATTAATAGATGGGTCAGTGCAGAAATTGTATATAGTGGCAAAATTTCACAGTAGAAATGGTGTATTATATTGGACCTGCAGAAGGTTAATCTAAATAATAATCCTACATGAATTGTGGGATGCAGAAAACCAATTACATAAGACAAACTTATCAACCAAGTACAGAGCCTGTTGGACATCACCACTGGATAAAGCAAGGGGTTGCATATGGCTACATAGCGGTCATAGGCCATCACTACCAGGAGGGAACACTCTGTGTTTGCACTGGAAGCAAAAATATAAAATTGGGTGATGCACTCAAAGTAGGATATCATATGATTCTCAGATAAAAAATTCATTAGCATCCTGGGAGTCACAGAGGATGAGGAACAAGCATCTGCAAAGGCCAAACTGCCAAGGAGTAAGTACATGGGGGTGTGAAGATGGGGGTCCTTCCAGATGAGAAAAATCAGTCCGAGGTTGCCCACCATGGTGGTGAGGTAGCTGACCAAGAACACCAGGAACAGGGGGACCTGCAGCCCTGGACGATCTGTAAGTCCTGTGAGAACAAACTCAGTCACCTGAGTCTTGTTTGCCTCCCTCATATGCACTCGGGCTGATCACTGCCCTGAGAGAATGGGTAAAGGAAAAAAACAATCAAAGGTCATGAAGACTGGTTTGGGATGGCAATGTCTGTTCCCTATTTCAGATGTCAGTTTCTCAACAAATAGGAAGGTACAGGGTTTCTCTTTTTTAGAAATATACTTAAGAGTATTAAGTATATAATAAATAATTTTGAGAAAGATTTTTTAAAAAAGGCCTTTAAGATTATATATTTAAAATTAAATATATTAACAGTGAAATGTTTTCCAGAATTGAGAATAAAAAATACATTTTATATGAAAATCTGTAAAAGCAGCAGTGCTTCAGTTTCAAAAGTGTTATCATCCTTTCTCAGAAAATCTTGTGTATCTTTTCCATTAAATGAAAAATGGGCTGTATCTCTGATATAAGCAATATACATCATTCAATCCTTTTAAGACATTAATAGGTTGAGGAATAAGACAGCAAATCAATATTCTACTACTGTTTTAACTGTCCATTATAACTATTATTTGATTATATATTCATCAAAATCACCCCAAATTCCTAATCAAATCTTTTGATTATATATTGCATATATGTATATATGCAAATCCATTTTAAATTTCTAATTATTTTTAAATATCCCCAATAAACTCTCATACATGAACATAATCATTCATTCACTCAACAAATTTTTATAGTAGTACCTCCTAAGTTAAAGCACTGTCATTCTTACCTCATAGAACCTCTATCTGGTGTTACACCCAGGATGATAAAATACCCCTCTTTTAAGAGGAGTGAAGAAACAAAGACTTTACTGTCTAATTTGCAGGTTTGGGAAGGATCTAAGGACTGTCATTTTCAGGCCAAATAAGACAATTACCATCCTGTTAACTGAGAATGTGTTTTAATATTTCAGAGGCACAAATTCTAAAATGATTGTAAAGCTTTTTCTTTATCGCCCTTTTTGAGATGGCAAGTGGGACTATAAAAGTCAGGGTGGAATGAAGCTTTACAAATGGCACCACGGTTGGAAAAATAACCAGTGTTTTGAGAATGTGTATTCAATTTAAATAGTAAAAATTATAAATTCTGTTTAAAAGGCAAATCAAATGAGAAAAGATGAAACATAGTAGTAGGCAATGGCTAACATAAAGACAGTCAAGGCAGATAAGAGCCCCCAAAAACAAATGGATCCATGAGTTTTATAAGTCTGGAAAGCAAGTGAGAAGGCTGGGTCCTGTGGAGACCCAAGAGAAAAAACCTCAGTCCTCATCAGCACAATGCATTTCATCAATGACAAATTATGCACAAGTCTGAACATAAAATATGTTTTGTGTATTCAAATCCCTCTCTTAGTATCTAAAGCAGGGTCTACCCATTTACAAACAGCTGATTAAGTATACAACTGTTCAAGGGAATATTTACCAGTCTTGGATTCACAGCTCCCAGGCTTTTATGACAAGACCATCCAAGTGGGTGTCATTCCAACACATGTTTTCTATAGCCTAGTGACCAATTCCGTGCAGAATTGAAGAATTCATTCCCCAAATCTGTGCTGACCTGAAACATTTCCCTAAAGTGCCTGCTTGGTAATTCAAAGGCAGGAAACAAACAGAAAACTGAGGGAATACAGGGTTTGTGAAAAATTCAGTTCTAATGAGAATAATGTTTGAACAATAAAATACATATGGAAGAACTGGAGTATGTTCTATAAAAATGCACCTGGAGTTTTTTTTCCCCTGTAAAAGAGAAGCTATTTTGAGCAAAACTGTTCTCCATCTTCTCTTGAAATAGGAAAAGAGAAAATTTGTTTGAGACTTATATTAGACATGAAGAAACCGTTGCTGAGAGGCTACCATTAATCATCGAGTAAGCACGCTTCTGTCAAGTCACTGCAAGTCCCAGATTATCCCTTACAACAGTGAGTTGTGCCACTCAGTAGTTGTGGTGAACTTTTTCCTTTTTTTGCATAAGTATCATCTTAAAGAAAATCCATATTGAAGGGGACGTCATAGACTCCCTTAAAAAGCCCCAATAACTCTCTGATTCTTAACAGTCAGAAATCTTCCTCATTCTGTTTGTGTTCCAATGTAAATTAAATGCCAGAATGAATTTTAATTTTCAAAGACACAAAAAATACTAAATAGATTGTTTCTATAATTCATTATCCTGGCCAAAAAAAAAAGTTACTAAAATTGTAAGAAAATTTCAGAGGCTTTGAATCTCAATTCTACCTCTAAATTACCACACGATTATTAGCTTTATGACCTTTGTTTTGAGGTTCTCCTCTAGAGCACTGGATTTCCTCAGGTACATTTCCACGACAGCCTGTGTGACTATGACTCCTCTCTGCTACTTAGTAGGTATCATGACATGGTGGTGAAGCACACAGTGCTATAACTGATCTGCATGAGTTCAATTCTTCATTCTACAAATTTATAGCTTTATATCCAAAAGTTTTCAGAGGAAATAAACATAATATTTATTTACCTATTTAATTCAGGATGCTCCATTTGAAAGGTAAATCATCTGAAAATATTTTTTACAAATTTTGATAGCTCATGAAAAACTCTTGTTACTAAAATGACATTTCCTATCACTTTTCATGGAAAGAATAATTGTAATAAAATAAAGCACTGCATTCTCACCCAGTTCTTCTAAGAAGATGCAGAGATGCCATAAAATATAGATTTTCATGAAGAACTCTTAATTAAGATACAAGAACAAAAATGTCAAAGACAACTATTTGTCTCATGTTATTTTTCCTTGAAGAATGCAGTTTGGAAGGGAAGATATTTATTTCTTCCCATCTTCAAACTGTTTATGAAGAGAATATTGAAACTCCCTCAAAACCACCAAAAAATTCTCTGTAGAATGAAGTCAATCTACTGGGCATTATAGACTAATCAACAAATCACTTATAACATTCTTTAATAGCTATTGTTTTTGTAGCTTATTTCTTTCTTCTGAAAACAAAAGCACCACAGGTTAATAGTAGGAAAAAATTAAAATTGTAAAAGAGCAAAAAGAAAACAAATTGCTATAATTTCACTAATCACCGATAAATATAGTTAACTTTTTAGTATATATTTCTCCTATCATTTATCCATACATGTGGCTGTATTTATGTATACTTGATTATATATAATTAATATATATTTATATTTACATAATATATAAACATTTTATGCACACATATAAAAATAAAATTTTGGCACTGCCGTACATAATTTTTCATAAACTATTTTTTATTTAAGTATAGTTGACATACAATATTATATTGGTTTCAAGTGTACAATGTAGTGGTTTGACATTATATAAGTTATGAAATGATCACCATTTAAGTATAGTTAACATCTGTAATCACATATAGTTATTACAATATTATTGACTATATTCCCTATGCTGTACCTTACATCTCCATGACTCATTTATTTTATAACTGGAAATTTGTAGCTCTTAATCACTACTGATTTTGCCTATCCCCCCAATCCTTTTCCTTTGGTAAATACCAATTTGTTCTCTGTATTTATGAGTCTGTTCTTGTTTTGTTTGTTTGCTTGTTTTGTTTTTTAGATTTCACATATAAGTAAAAATCATACAGCATTTGTCTTTCTCTGTTAGACTTACTTCACTTAGCATAATACTCTCTGGGTTCATTCATATCGTACAAAGAACAAGATTTCATTCCTTTTGTGGCTGAATAATATTCCATTGTAGTATGTGTCTATTTGCGTGTGTATATCTATACACACACACACACACACACATATCACATCTTTATCCATTCATCTATTGATGGACACTTAAATTGCTTTCATATCTTGGCTATTGTAAATAATGCTGAACATAAGGGTGTATATATCTTTTTGAATTAGTGTTTTCATTTTCTTTGAGTAAATATTCAGAAGTGGGACTATTGGATTGTATGGTACTTCCACTTTTAACTTTTTGAGGAAACTCCATACTGTTTTCCACAGTGGCTGCACCAGTTTGCATTCCCACCAACAGTGCATGAGGGTTCCCTTTTCTCCACATCTTCACCAACACTTGTTATTTCTTGTGTTGTTGATTTTAGCCATTCTGACAGGTATGAGGTAATATCTCATTGTGATTTTGATTTGCATTTCCCTAAGGCTTAGCATTGTTGAGTATATTTTCATGTATCTGTTGGCCATCTCTATATCTTCTTTGGGAAAAATGTCTATTCAGGTACTCTGCCCATTTTTTAATCAGTTTGTTTGGGGTTTTTTGGTGTTGAGTTGTGTGAGTTCTTTATATATATTGGATATTAATTTCCTATCCGATATATCATTTGAAAATATCTTCTCCTATTAAGTAGATTGCCTCTTTGTTTTGTTGATGGTTTCTTTTGTTGTGCAAAAGCTTTTTAGGTTGACATAGATACAGATGCTTATTTTTGCTTTTGTTGCTCTTGTCTAAAGAGGCAGAAGCAAAAAATTATTGCTAAGACCAATGTCCAAAACATTACTGCCCATGTTTCTCTTAGGAAATTTATGGTTTCAAATCTTACGTTTAAGTTTTTAATCTATTTTGAGTTTGTTTTTGTATATAATGTAAGAAAGTGGTCCAATTCTATTCTTTTGCATGTAACTGTCCAGTTTTCCCAGCTCATTTACTGAAAAGATTGTATTTTCCCCACTATAGATTCTCGGTTCCTTTTTGTAGATTAATTGACTATGTAAGTATGGGTTTATTTCCAGGTTCTCCATTGTGTTCCTTTGTTCTATGTGACTATTTTTGTGCCAGTGCCATACTGTTTGGATTACTATAGTTTTATAATATATTTTGAGGGGTGCCTGGGTGGCTCTGACTCTTGATTTTGGCTCAGGTCATGATCTCACAGTCCTGGGATAGAGCCCCAAGTCAGGCTCCACGCTGGGCTGGGCGTGGAGCCTGCTTACAAGCCTCTCTCTCTCCCTCTGCCCATCCCCCTGCATGTGTGTGCACTCTCTCTTGCTCCTCTCTCCTTCTCTCTCAAAAATAAAATAAAATA